CGTTTCGTTGGGGAGGGGCTCCGCGTTCCTTAAGTGTTTCACAGCTTGCCTCAGGCCTTCCTTAGGTTTTTGACAGGAAATCGAAGGTTAACTTATGGAAAAAAGGGACCTCGTTCCTTATTTAGGGTTCCTTCGGTCAACGCCCCGACTGTAGCGCTTCTCGTTCTGGAGGTCCGTGGCGCGCACCAGCTCGGGGGGGGCGTCCATGGTCTGCTCGGCCATCTTGTCGATCTAGTCCATCATCTGCTCGCGGTAGTTGTCGAAGGGGTCCGCGCCGTCGGCCACGACGTCGGTGGAGGCGGCAGGAGCGCCAGCCTCAAGACGAGGGCGCTTAGGAACATCGCTGCCACCAGTTGACGACGCCGAGGAGCCGTCGCCAGGCATCGCAGCGAAGGGCATGGTGGGGTTCGTGCGAGACCCCTCCTCTAGGGGATGCCGCAGGGCGTATTACTGGAAGTGTCCCGGGGAGCATGTTCCGGACACTTTGCCGGTTTGCCTGCTTGCCGATGGCTTAAGCCACAATGGCTTAAGCCCAAATTGCTACGACACCCACGACGACACCCACGCTACCCCCCTCCTCTTCTTCCTCCTCCTCCTCTTCCTTCTCCTCCTCCTCCTCTTCCTCCTCCTCCTCCTCCTCCGCCTCATCCGCCGCCTCCTCCTCCTCCTCCTCCTCCTCCTCCTCCTCCTGTTCATCCTCCTACTCCTCCTCCTCCTCCTCCTCCTCTTTCTCCCCCTCCCCCTCCTCATCCGCCTCCTCCTCATCCCCCTCCTCCTCCTCCTCCTCCCCCTCCTCCTCTCCTCCTCCTCCTCCTCCTCCTCCTCTCCTCCCTCCTCCTCCTCCTCCTCCTCCTCCGCTCCTCTCCTCCTCCTCCTCCTCCTCCTCCCCCTCCCCCTCCCCCTCCTCCTACCACGCCACTGCCGACACCACGGCCAGGCTCAACCGGCTGTATGTCGGGTCTCCTCCGTGGCTGTGCCCGCAGCTCGGCCTGCACTGCAGGCTCCTCAGAGCGCCTGCTCACAGCCACAGCCGTCGACCCCCCCTCCTTCTCGTCCTCCTCCTCGTCTTCCTCCTTATCCTCCTCTTCCTCGACGATCCGCCCTATCATTCCTCCTCCTCATCCTCCTCCTCCTCATCATCAACATCATCATCATCATCATCATCATCATCATCATCATCATCATCCCCATCCCCATCCTCATCCTCAACCTCCTCATCCTCCTACGACGACGACGACGATCACCCGTCGCCTTTAACTTCACCTCGACGGCACAACTTCCAGCCGAGCAGCGGCCCATTCCACGATTCGTCCTCGGCCACCCTCGCCTCCAAGTCGTTCTGGAAGCCCCGGCCCGCGACGGCGGCCTCGACCCGCTCTCCGTCGCGTGGCGCCCTCTGCGCTTCAGGAAGCCAGTGCGAGAAGCAGCCCGACTCATCCGGGACGAAGTCCTCGCTCTCGGCGGTCCCAGCACAGATGCCTCTGCCACTGCCACTGGCTGCGCGTCCACTGCGCCGGCCGCGTGGCACAACGACCTGCGCCTGGCGACCACCCTCTTGGCTGCGTCTTGGGCTGCTCGTCGGCACCTCCAGGTCCACCATGGGCGCGCGTGCGCATCACCGACGCGGCCGCCTTCTGCAACGCGTGCTCTGTAGAGGGCTCTGCTTCTCTCCAACGAGGTCTCCCAGTACACCCTGGTCCTGTCGCCGTTCGTCGTCGCCGACGTGCTGCTCTTGAGCGCCTACGCCACCTCACAGGCGGCTTGGATTAGCAGGTCGGCCCCGCCAGATCAAGGGTACCCTCGTGTCCTGTGTCTTGCGACCCGTGCCTCCTGCATTCCTACAGTCGGGGCCCTGAAGAAGGAACCCGCCTCGTTGGGGAGGGGCCCCGCGCTCATGAAGTGCTTCGCAGCTTGCCTCAGGTTTTCCTCAGGTTTTCGAAGGGGAATCGAAGGTCAACTTTTGGAAAAAAGGGGCCTCGCTCCTTACTTTGGGCTCCTTCGGTCAAGGCCCCGACTGCATGCGCCATCCGGGCCGGCAGCGAGCTCTCCGCGGCAGAGGCTGCCCCGGCAGCTGCGCCTGCTCCGGCTCGGGCCCCCACGCTCCCCGCCGCAGCGCGCCATATGCACGCCGCGCTCGCCGAGCACCTCGCGGACGGGCTCTCTCTCCTCTAATCTCACCCCGCCAGACTTCGCGCCGCCTGCGTCCTCTGCGATCCGCAGCTTCTAGAATCTGCCCTCGGCGCGGCCTCCGGCATCGATGGCATCCCATATGCCGAGCTCGGCCTCGCGCCGGCTCCCTCGCCCACGCCCTCCTGTACATCAGGTTGGCGCAGGGCTGTGCTCCGGCCTCGGGCTGCCGCTCGGCCTCGATGGCACCCCGGCGGCCCTCCTGCCAGAGGGCTCCGAGGACGCGGACGCTGCCCGCATCGTCCGGGAGGCCACCTCTGCGCGCCCCCTCGGCTCCAAGGGCGCCGACGTAGAAGCCATCGCTGGCGCGATCCACGTCTGCATATCGAGCGCTCCGTCTCCGACGCGGCCTCTGTGCTCATAGCGGCGTCCTCCTGGGCCGGGGCCTCGCCAACAACATGGGCGATTCCTCCTGGGCCGGAGCCTCGTCAACAGCACGGGGGACTTGGATTCTTACGGGCGTCTCTACTCCGTGTTGCCACCGTGCCGTCACCCACTGTTCCTTTCCACCGGCTTTGGTGCAGCCCTCCCCTCTCCCAACCACTCCTGACTGTACATCGTCGCGGAGCGCGGCGGCCTGCCCCTCGGCCTCGTGGGTGTGGTCAGGTGCATTCACTCCTCGGGTGCTCACTGTTGGACGTGCTGGCCCCATTGTCAAGACGCTGTTCGTGATCCACAGCGGCGTGATCCAGGGTTGCCCCCTCGCGAGCTTCTGCTGCGTCGTCGCCCTCGGCCCGTTCCTGAGCTGGTTCAGCCGCGCGGTGGTCCAGCGCGAGCTGGGGATCGTCCGCGTGTGCGCCGACGACTTCGGCTGCGCGCTCTCTTCGATCGACGTCCTCCGCACCATCGCCACCATCTTCAGACTCGCCAGGCTCGTCGCCGGTCTCACCAGTGATTGCGCCAAGTGCTGCATCGTGCCCCTCGGTCCGTGTTCCACGGAGCTCGCCCGCGTCTCCGGCCGCTGGCTTGCCGCGCGCCTCCCCGAGTGGGCTTCCGGCCCCAGCGAGCCGGCTGACAAGTACTTGGGCGCTCGGCGCCCTCCATGTGCTGCGCCATTGGTTGCGCCATTCTTGGTCCGTCAGGTTGCGCCCTCGGCAGCCGAGAAGCAAAACGGTGGTTGCGCCATGAGTTGCCCTTGCGGCAGCCGAAGATTGGGCGGTCTGCTAGTGCTTGCTCCCTCGACGTCCAACCATCAAGCGGCTTGCTGTCGGTTGCGCCATCGGTCCTTCGTCTGCGCCCGTGCGCCCAGAGTATGAAGACCTGCGAATGGTTGCGATCAGCCAGTGATGGATCACCTGCAAAGTATCAGAGGAGAGGGAGGCAGCCAGGGACTCGGGCTGAACAGGATCGGGTCAGGGAGAGAGGTTCGAAGGGAATGTTTGTTTTTGGCGAATTTACCGCACTGTCTAACGCGTTAGAGACGTAACCAGCCTACCTCTCACAGGGAGACATTTTGAAAGAGAGAGAGAGCTATTTTGAAAGATACGGACTGTCGTTATAGGTTGTGCTGAGCCGTGCTCTTCTGACTGCCAATATAATGGCACCGGGCGGCATACTTGGCACAAGTTGTTTCAAGTGACGCACCTACGTAACCATGCCTCGTGAAGGTCAACCTGCAACTTACACGACTCAACTTAGACAGGGTCTTACAACCAGCCTGCCTGTGGTTCATACCAATCTCGCCATATCTAAGAGGGCTGCCAGCGCGCGCAGGTCCCATCGCTTAGCAATTGCCGAGATCCCTGAAGGCGCCTCCGGAGGACCAGGAAGGCAAAACTCAGGAGGGAAGAAACACACAGACACAATTAATTGGCGATTCCCCAGAGAATATGGGAAACTATGGGAAGTGGGGGGGAAGACAGAAACCCAGAACATATGGGACAATATGGGGACTATTTTTATTTGTGTGTGTTTATTTGTGTGTCCTGGGACCCCTTCAAAAACAGCGTTTCACACGTCCCAGCCTCCATTCGCGGTCGTGGAGCCTTCACCCTCTGCGGGAGTCTGCTCAGCCGAAGGCGTGGCGCCAGGGCGCGGGGGAATTCCGTGCAAATAGCTGTTCCTGTGAGTTGCGCGCCCCCGCCGCCCGTTCCCGTGTCCGTATAGCTGCCCGCGGAGGCCCTCAGCAGTGCGCCTGGCCGTGGCAGCTTTCGCAGCCCCCTATCCTGGCTCTGGTCGCTCTCCCTCTCTCTCTCTTTTTGTTTGTTTTCCCTCTTCTCTCTCTCTCCTCTCTCTCTCCCTCTCTCTCTGTCTGTCTGTCTGTCTGCCTCTCTCTCTCTCTATCTCTCCCTGATCGGGCCAGACGAGGGGCGGGATTGGGACAGATTTTCGGAAGTGTTTCTTAGCTTATCCAGTCTCGGGATGAGTTCCAGCAACTGCTCGTCACGGACAGCGTTCCAGAGGTCTCTGGATCGTCCTCTACGGCCGCCGTAGACCAGATATATGACCGGAAAGCAAGACGACGAAACTCATCCCGGTCGAATGATGGGAGGGGGACTGGACAAAAAGGGAACACGAAATTTGCTGCATGCAGCCGGTGTCGGCCTCAACGCCAGGTGCTTCCCTCGGTGCATGGACGCCTCTGGCGCTGGGGAGGCGCCCGGAAGACGGCCGATTCAGTGAGCCGATTCGCTGCCCCCCCTTCTTCCCCCCTGCCCTCCCGTCCGACCCAGGCAGGCTCTCCCTCCCTGTCTCTCTCTCTTTCTCTCTCTCTCTCTTGCCCTTCCTCACTCCCGGTCGGTCGCAGGCGCCCGGCCCAGGAGCCCCTCGCTCCTTCCCCGCCCAGCTCCGCGCTGCCCCTGGTCTTCCTCCTGCGCGCCCCCCCCTACCACCTTTCGATCGTTGGCGGCAGAGAGGGGGGTGACGACTAAGGGGGGGGGGTAGATATCATTCAGGAGGCGAAAAAACACACAGACACAATTGATCCTCGATTCCCCCGATAATATTGGAAACTATGGGAAGTGGGGGGAAGACAAAAACCCAGAACATGTGGGAGAATATGGGGAACCATTTTATTTGTGTGTATGTATTTGTGTGTGTCCTTGGGCCCCTTCAATCATGGCGTGGGCCGTGAACTTTCTCCGATGTCATGGCGCCTCTTCTTCTCTCATCACGTCTCTGCCCCCCCCCCCCCAGGGCCGCGCACATGCCGCCGGCCATGATCTGCGCCCCCCCCCCTCTCCTGGACGCCCCCCTCCCTGGGTCGCCCCCGAACCTCTGTGCCGCCTTCCCCCTCGCGCCGCCGTGCCGCTCGCCTCCGCCGCCGCCCCCTTGCCTCGAGGTATCTCGCTGGCGACTCCGGCGCGCCTGCGCCGCCCCGGGGGGGGGGCACGATCCGCAGAGACGGCGCTCTCCAGGGGCAGCCTCTCGCGCGGCCGCGGCGCCGAGAGCTCGCCACGTCGGAGGGGGCACCATCCCCTCCGCCAGCAGAGACGGCGCTCTCCAGGAGGCGGCCTCTCGCGCGCCCGCGGCGCCGACGAGAGGTCGCCACAGCGGAAGGGGGGGCCGGCGCAGCGGCTCTCTCCGCCGGCGGAGGTGCAGGCGGGGGTGCCGGCGAGAGGCCGGCAGCTGCCCTCGTCGTGCTCCTCGATGAGCGCGCCGCACGGCTCGCAGAGCGCCGCTGTGCTCGCAGAGGGCCCGGAGCCGCCGCGGGGGGTCGACGATCAGAATCGCCTCGGAGCAGACATAAAAATGGTCCCGAGCTGCGGGCCCACGGCCCCCCCCCCCAGATGGTATGGTCCCAGGATTCCTCGCCCCCCCCCCCCCTCCCAAGATGGTATGGTCCCAGAGACGACGACGACGACGACGACGACGGCGACGACTACGACGACGGCGATGACGACGACGACGACCACGACGACGACGACGATGGCTGCGGCGGCGACGACGCCAGCGGCGGCGGCGACGACGATGACGACGATGACGACGGCGACGACGACGATGACGACGACGACGACGAGGACGACGAGGACGACGAGGACGACGAGGACGACGACGACGACGAGGACGACGACAACGACGACGACGACGACGACGATCTCTGAACCACCACAGCACCACACCACATCAACAGGGGGGAGGGAGGGCACACCACCGCAGCGCAGCACCACGCCACGCCCACCTCTGAACCACCACAGCACCGCACCACATCCACCGGGAGGGGGGGGGGGCACCGCAGCGCAGCACCACGCCACGCCCACAGGGGGGGGGCGGGGGGGACCATCGCGCGGGGGGGGGGGGCCCAATGGCATCAGCATTGGGGGGGGGGGCCACGAGGGGCCCTCGACCCTCGGCCTCTCCCCCGGGGCCAGGGGATTGGGGCCGGACAGCATCCCCAACAGCGACGCGTCCAGGAGTGACTGTTGTCCGTCGTCGGTTCTCGAGAGAGGGCGCCGTGGCCGTCATTCTCCAGGCTCGCGCCCGCCAGGTCTTGGGCCTCGGGTCGTTTTCACTGAACCACGTTTTGCTAAAGGGGGGGTCTGTCCATCCCCGACAGTCGGGCCGGGCGAAAAGGGGGGATTGGGAAAGGGGGGGTTACGAAATTTGCTGCATGCGGCTGGTTTCGGCCTCACCGAGGGGCCAGGTTTTGGGCCTCAGGTCGTTTTCACTGAGCCACGTTTTGCTAAGGGGGGGTCTGTCCGTCCCCGACAGGTCTTCCTCCCGAGCCGCGCCCTCTGCGTCTCCCGGGGGGCCCGCGGATGGGGCCCGCGGAGGGCCCAGAGGCGGCGAAGGATTCCCGTGGTCTCCTCTCTTCCCGGTTTCCACCATTCAGGAGAGACAAAAACACACAGACACAATTAATCCTCCACTCCCAGGAAAATATGGGAAAATATGGGAAGTGGGGGGGAAGACAGAGACCCAGAAAACATAGGAAAAGATTGGGAATCCTCTTATTTGTGTGTACTTATTTGTGTGTCCCAGGGCCCCTTCAATCCTGCTGCTCCCTTCACGCGCTTGTCCTCGGCTGCCGTCGCCCAGGGCTCCGTTCCGCTTGCCCCCTCGGTGAGGGATCTGTCTCCGCCCTCGCGTCGGCTGCGCTGCCCTTCCTGCCCTCTCTTGCCCCCCGTCTTTCTTAGCTGCCCGTCCTGCTCGGTGCGGTCTCTCTCCGCCCACATTCTCGCCCGTCCTGGTCCTGCCTGACGCGCGTCTCGTTCCCTCTTGTGCATCGCACCCGGCGCGCGCTGCAGGAACGGCGACCCGCGTGCCCTAATTAAGGCTGCCTGTGGCACCTCCGGTCGGCGCTGAGTTTTGTGCGAGGGGGGGTTCGAAGAGAAAGGTTCGCTCACGTATGTGTGTGTGTGTGTGTTTACACACGCGCTCTCTCTCTCTCGCGCGCTCTCTCTCTTTCCCTCCCTTTCTTCCTCATGCGCCGCCCTTCTGTCCCTCCCTCCCTCTCGCTCTCTTGTGTTCTTTGCCTCGCCTGTCTTTCTTTCTTTCTTTCTTTCTCTCTCTCTCTCTCCCTCTCTCCGTCTCCATCTCTATCTACATGTCTTTCGTCCCCCCTCCCTCCCTCCCTCTCATCTCTCTCTCTCTTTTTCTGTTCCTCTCGGTCTCTCTCTCATTTGTTCCCCACCTGTCCATCTCACTCTCTTATATATATATATACAAACATGTAGATAGGAGAGTGAGGGGGCCAAACGGTCACTCGCTGTCCTTATGTGCGTGGCTGAAGTGGGATTATGCGGTGCTGTTGTTGTTGTGTTGTGTTGCTGTTGTTGTGCTTGGTGTTGTTGCCGCTGTTATTATTGTTGCTGTTGTTGTTATTGTTGTTGTCACGTGTTGTCGTTGGTATTGTTGTTGGTGGTGTGTTCGTTGTTATTGTGGCTGTTGTTGATGTTGTTGTTGTTGTTGCTGCTGTTGTTGCTGCTGTTGTTGCTGCTGCAGTCGCTGCTGCTGCTGCTGATGTTGTTGTTGTTGTTGTTGTTGGTATTGTTGGTGTTGTTGTTGCTATTGTTGTGTGTTGCTTGTTGTGCTCTGTGTGTTGTTTGTTGTTTGTTGTTTGTTGTTGTTTGGCGTCGTCCCCCCCGCGACCCACCCCGCGACCCGCCCCGCGACCCGCCCCGCGACCCACCCCGTGACCCACCCGCGACCCACCAGCGACCCACCCCGCGACCCACCCGCGACCCATCCGCGACCCAACCCGCGACCCTCCCGCGACCCACCCCGCGACCCACCCGCGACCCACCAGCGACCCAACCGCGACCCTTCCACGACCCACCGGCGACCCACCCGCGACCCGGCCCGCGACCCACCCGCGACCCACCACGCGACCCACCCCGCGACCACCCCCCATTGCTTTAACGAGAAACATCGGCGCCTGCTAAAAGTTTGGCGCCAGCGGCGGGCTTCTTCAGAGCCTCGCAGACTGCCGACGTCCTCGCCGCCCCCTCACTCTTATCCGCACTTGCGTGGTGCAATGTGTGTATGTATGTATGTATGTATGTATGTATGTATGTATGTATGTATATATATATATGTATATATATATATATATACGTAGCACCCCGCAGATGCCGGTAAGAGTGATGGGGGCAGTGGGGACGTCGGCAGTTTGTGAGACTCTTGAGAAAACCGCCGCAGGCGCCGAAGTTTCACAAGAAAATTAAGAGAGCCCGCCGCAGGCGCCGATTTTTCGTTAAACCAATGTGGGTAGGTCGCGGGTGGGTCGCAAATGCGCCGCGGCTGGGTCGCGGGTGGGTCGCGGGTGGGTCGCTGGGTGGGTCGCAAGTGGGTCGCAAGTGGGTCACGGGTGGGTCGCGGGGTGGGTCGCAAGTGGGTCGCAAGTTGGTCGCGGGTGGGTCGCAGGGTGGGTCGCGGGTGGGTCGCAAGTGGGTCGCAGGTGGGTTGCGGGTGGGTCGCGGATGGGTCGCGGGGTGGGTCGCGGGTGGGTCGCGGGGTGGGTCGCGGGTGGGTCGCTGGTGGGTCGCGGGTGGGTCGCGGGGTGGGTCGCGGGGTGGGTCGCGGGTTGGGTCGCGGACGGGTCGCGGGTTGGGTCGCGGGTCGGGTCGCGGGGTGGTTCGCTGGTGTGTCGCGGGGTGGGTCGCGGGTGGGTCGCGGGTGGGACGACGACAACAAACAACAACAACAACAACAACAACAATCATTTTACCCGAACGCGCGGTGTTCTCCCCAGTGCCAGGGTTTTCATACGACACCAGGCAATACCCCCACTTCGTGGGGGGGCATTACAAGCTCTACCAAATATCCAAACGACTCTTCGCGACCACCCAAACCCAGCTTCCCGCCCTATGACGTTGGGACACTTCACTTCGTGGCGTGCGGACGACCGTGGCTACTACACTGGCGTGGGGTACACACCCACAGAACTTGGTCACTTATTCGGGGCGCGCATGTGCCCAGCATGGTGCAATTGTGCCATGCTGGGCACATGCGCGGATGGTATTATTTGACAGGGATGATGGCCCTGGCAGGTGCGCAACCGTTGTCGCAGAAGTTCGAAAAAGTTGCTCGCAAAAGCCCGTTTGACAGAAATGTTTAAAAAGTGTTGGGTTTCCTACGAATCCGCAAGAGCGCGCGGGATGAGATTTTGACATTTTTTTGTTGAAAAACCATTGGTTTTTTGATGTTTTTATGTTAAAATCGCTCCGAACACTAAGCTTTTGGAAGGATTTCGTCTTGCGCGCGCGAATGTCCACTTTACCTTATTTTTTGCAAGGGATTCTTGAAATTTGATTATATTAGAACAAGAAATGTCATTTTATAGTGTTTTTTGCAAGGGAAAAGCGGGGGGGAACAAAACAACCGGATCTTGATGACATCGAATTACCTGAGGCTTCCTCACGAAAATGATGAAAATGTAGCTGCGGCCTAGGCGGCGCAGGGGGGCCGTGCACCAGGGGTCCCAACAATAATTATTCTTTAGAATTAATAATGTTCAACAACAACAACTACTACTACTACTACTACAACAACAACAACATTACCAACAACAACAACAAGAACGCAACAAGCAAACTGTTCACCACGGACCCCCACTTCAGCCTCGCACCCAGGAACAACGAATGAGCGTTCGGCTCCCTCACTCTGATACATTTATATATATATATATATATATGTATGTGGACAGGCCCGCCAGCACCAAGTCTGCGCATTCTTCCTTTTCACGAGGCTGGAGTCGTGCCGCTCCCCTCCTGTATCCGTTCCCTCTCCGCGCCTCTTCTTCTTTTTTGCTGAAGCCTTCTCCCGCATCCGCTAGCGGCACATTTTCCACAAACGCCAACGTGACAGATGCAAGCAAGTGTCTGCTTCCTCTACATAGAGGGGGCACAAGCGTGTGAGCCATCCTGTAGACGAGAAATCAGCAATCCTGGTGCTTTTATTTGGATCCCTTTGCTTTCTGGGATGATACTCAACGAAACCCTGTAATTTCACTGGGATCCGTGGGATTCCTTTGATTTCATACCCTGGAGCAGAACCAACCTTGGGATCCCCAGGAGGTTCAAGGCTCAGAACCCTAGGAATCCCAATGAAATCGCCGGGTTCGCGACGTCGGTGATGCGCAAATCTGGTGATTACATTGGGATTCCTGGGATGTAAATTGGCGAAACCCTGCGGTTTCATTTTGGTTCCGGGGATTCCTGGGATTTCATACCCTGGAGCAACACCAACCTCGGGATCCCCAGAGGGTCCAGGACTCAGAATCCCAGGAGTCCCAATGGAATCACAGGCTTCGCGACGTCGGTGATGCGCAAACCTTGCAATTTCATTTGGATTCCGGGGATTCCTGGGATGCAAATCGGTGGAAATCGTGTGATTTCATTGGGGTCCTTGGGGTTCCTGGGGCATCATACTTTGGAGCAAAACCAACCTTGGGATCCCCAGGAGGTCCAGGGCTCAGGACCCCAGGGGTCCCAATGAAATCGCAGGATTCGCGACGTCGGTGATGCGTAGGACCTGCGACGTCTTTGGGATTCCTATGGTTCCCGGGGTGCAAATCAGCGAAACCTTCTGATTTCATGTGGGTTCTTAGGGTTTCTGGGGTTTCAAGCTTTGGAGCAGCACCAATTTTGGAATTCTCAGGAGGTCCAGGGCTCAGAATCTCATGAATCCTAGCGAAATCTCAGGTTTCGCGATGTCGATGATGTGCTACAAAGCTTAGAATTTCAATTCGATTCTTCGGATTCCTGGGATGCAAATGAACGAAACCTTGGGATTTCATTTGGATTCCTGGGATTCCTTCGGATTTTCAGCCCTGGCCTTTTGTGACTCCAGGGCTCGTGCTTGGTTTTCGCTCCAGGGTACAGGAATCCCAGGCATCCCAATGGAATCGCATGATTTCGCCGATCTGCATCCCAGGAATCCCAGGAATCCTAATGACATCATCGGGTTTGCGCATCACAGACGTCGCGAACCCTGCGGTTTCATTGGGATTCTGGGGATCCCAAAGGTTGTGTTCCAGGGTATGAAATATTAGAAAAACCAGGAACACCAGTGAAGTTGAAGGGTTTCGTTGATTTGCATTCCAGGAATCGCAATGATCTCACTGAAATCAGAAAAGTGTGGGCATCACCGCCGTTGGGAACCTTCTGATTGTACTGGGACTCCTGGGATTCTGAGCCCTGGACCTCCTGAGGATCCCCAGGTTGGTTTCGCTCCAGGGTATGGAATCCCACGAACCCCAGGAATCCCATTGAAATTGTAATCCAGAAACCCTTATAATGAGGACGATCGAGGTCGTTTCAAAGCAGTCCCCGGGGACTGCTTTGAAGAATGGCAACGTTCAAAGCAGTCCCATGGGACTGCTTTGAACGATGCGGACTTCTGGCCAGAAGAGTGCAGGGAGGAACAGGAGGAGGAGGAGGAGGAGAAGGAGAAGGTGGAGAGGGCTGTTGCAAGGTGCGCCGATGGCTCCTGTCCGTCGCCACGCTGTGCCCAGGGGGGGAAGAGGTGGAGGAGAAAAAGGAGGGGGAGGGGTTCGAGGAAGGATCGGCGAGGTTTTTCTCATCAGTTTCGGCCTCTGGAGGCCCAGCGGGACAACAAAGCCTCAGTTGCGGCGATCCAGAGTAATTCTTTCAAAATCGAAGATTTCCCTCTGCCCCTCTGCCTTCAGGGGTGTTTGCATATATATATATATATATATATATATATATATATGTATGTATGTATGTATGTATGTATGTATGTATGTATGTATGTATACATAGATGTGTACATATGTGTATATATGGGTGTATATATATTGCTATTTGTATATATGTTTATATTCGTCGTCGCCGTCGCCGCCGTCGTCGCCGCCGCCGCCGTCGTCGCCGTCC